ATTGTCAAATAGTCCTCCTACTTAATTACACATCAACAATATTGTCTTTTTTATTTTTTTCTCTCTCCTCTCTATCATTTATTGAGACTAAAGTTTAATGAGGTAAAATTCGTTAGGTAAAATTAAATAGGTTTTATTTATTAGGTAAAATTTATTGCTTAGCTTGCAATTATATATATAGATATAGATTATTAAATTTATTATTAGTAATTAAATATAGAGAGAGATATAAATGATAAACTTGTAACGGTTTTTGGAGGGAAATCGAAAAGGTTTTATTAAATGTTTTATTAAATGTTACTAGCCAGCAATTATATATATAGATATGCCAGCAATTATATATATATATATATAGATTATGATCGATCTACTTTTTGGTAGACCATTTAATTTGGCAGCTTCTCAAGATTGCTGGAGACGGATTGAGGCTGGGATTTCTGATGAAGTTTCCGGGAGACAGGGCCTCTGTGGACTTGCTTCTTTTGGTTCGTCGTCGCTTCTCGTTGTCTTAAAACACTAATCGAGCTTTTAGATGGGGGAAAGTTAATATAGGGCTTGAGTAGGGATGTCAATAAAACCAATAGTCGGGTTACCCGCGGGTTACCCACATTTTTTGGTCGGGTAAACTCGAGATGATTGGGTTTCGGGTCGGGTTAGGGTAGAATTATGTTATCCAAATCCTGGGTCGGGTCGGGTGCGGGTATAGTAGGCAAACTCATTACTCGACCCGATTAACCTACTCGTTTACTCGCAACCATTGAATCATATATACATACATATACATATATATATATATTTATAACTTATAATATATGTAAAAGTAGTCATGTGTTATTTTTAAAAATTAGATTATCTATTACAATTTTGATTAAGGGTTAAATTTATTTTACTTTTATAATTTTATTATCACTTTTTGTTAATCGTATAATAAAAAAATAAATATTTAAGTTTAAATGTTATAATATTAAATAGACTATAAAAGATAAATAATCCTATCTTATTATTTATTCCAAAAATAATATATTTCTTATAGTTTTTTATTGTCAAACTTAGTTAATAAATTATTTCTTACATTATAATTAATTGTGAAATTATTTTATTTTACTTTTTCATATGAAATGAGATGGGTCGGGAAAAACATAAATTTAAGACTCGGGTTATCCGTTTACCCTACGAAAACCCACTAACCCGCCGGATAAAACCGAACCCGAACCCGAAGATCACTAGCCGGATAACGGGTCGAGTTTGGGTAGGGTAAATTATATGTGGGACGGGTTCGGGTTTGTCAAAATCCGTACCCAACCCGACCCATTTACATCCCTAGACTTGAGTTGGAAATTGGAATAAATAAAGGTGTCTTTATTTCTATTTTTTAACCCCAAAGTTCATAACCAAGAGCAATTTACCAATAAAAAAAAATAAAAAAAAAACATGTGGACAAAAAAAAAAAAGAAAAAAAAGGGAGTGGACAAAAATGAAAAGGACGTATTTAAGGAATACGTTTTCTATACAATTTGTATAGAAAACGTATTCCTTAAATACATTTTTTCAGAATTTTTTTCAAAAGAAAACGTATTCAATGAATACGTTTTACAATTAAAAAAATGGTAAAACGTATTCACTGAATACGTGTTTTTTATTATGGTCCACTCTCATTTGTTTGTGTATTTCTTTTTTTCCACAACTTAACTTTTTTATAATTTTCTGGTAAAAAATTCTCATAACCAAGCCCTTTTAAGGTTGACTCATTTATGAATAAAAGACATTGTATAACCTTTTAAAAATAGAGAAATTTACCTAGTGGATGATATCTTGATGTTTTATTTGTAAACATGCGATTTTTTTATTTTTTTTTTCAGTTTAACCAATTATGTAGTTAAATTGGCTTTGGAGAGTCATTTTTATGAATCTATGTGTCATTTTTTTGTGTCACTTTTTCTCCATCACCGCTTCTTCACGCACATAAATTCTTCATCATCGCCTCTTCACGCACCATCTCTTGTAGCCGCCCGCCACCGCCCGTGAAGCCCCTTTCCAATTTTCCTCGAGCGACCGACCTCACTAGAACTAAGGTTGTAAACTACAAGGCTACCGACGTGTCTCCGTCGTTGTTGTCATCGTCGTTCTCGGCAGCGCTTGAAAACTATTTGAATCATGAGTAAAATCTATTTACCTTCTCGGATGAATATAAATTTTTCAATCTGTATTATTTGTATAATAAACTGAACATAAACTACACATAAATATACATTGGTGTATAAACTCATAATAAACTAAAAATAAACTAGATATAATAAACTTATACATGAATGCACAATCCGTATTATTGTATCGGTTTATAAACTCATAATAAA